GGGATTTGCGGAAGGTTTTGTGAGGTTTCACCCGTTTCTCTCCCTCTCATTTTGCATTGTTTTATCGTTATTCATATTAGCATCACAAGTAATCCTTGACATTATTCGTTCTTTCCAGGTTAGGGTGTCGAGGATGGATTGATTATTTCGTATTACGAGTCGTCAACCGATATACTCATTGGTTCCCGGATATGAAATGCAATATTACGTCCGAGATGGGGTCGGTGATCCTCCTCCTATTAAACGTGAAATCCGTGCCAACGTACAAGTCGACTTGTTGCGAGTCCCTGATGCGTTGAAATTGTTAGAATTTCTTTGGAACTTTAGAACACAACACATTCTTAAAGAAGAAATCGTTACTGAAGAATCTGAGATGACAACTAGAACGTGAGACAAGGCGGCGTCATCGATATAGTTGTGCACTGAGAGACAGATTAAGATAGTCACCATGTATATGTATTAACATTATGCTGAGTCAGATATTACGAAGTGTACGAATGAGTTGAAATAAATCCTAGTTTTGTGTGTGTGGTATTACTACGTAATATCATTCATTAATACAGAATAACAGTACCTTCTCCAGGTATCTCAAGTCAGCATTGACACCGCCCCTGTGAGACCTCCGAGTGTGCTACTGGTCATGCATGTCAGTGTGTTTCTTGTAAGGGAAAGAATGATAAGGATAGTGAAGTGGAAGAAAATCGCCCGAGTTGAAGTCTGTTTTGTTGTAGGGACTTCTCCGACATATTTTCTGGCATTGGTTGGAAAAACAAGAAAAATTATCTTCGGAGCTCCTGAGCCGCTAGCTCATTTCTTGTCCAGTCTAGGGATAATAACTTTCAAGGTTTATAAAATTGTAACTATAAAATAGAATTGGCCCACCTGATAATTGCAAAGACAAACGATAGGCAATTACTCAATATTCAAATAAACTCAGAATTGACAATGTGACTGATGATATTTCGATTCAAATATACTACAATAGAAAAATGTGTGGGTCGCAGTTTTTTTCTTCTTTGTATTTGTGAATTTAACACAGAAAAAGAAGTAATAAAATTAGCTGGAGATCTCCCCAATTATAGATTTCCATTTACATCCAGAGCGTATCTTTTTCTTCAAAGGATCACGATCAGAAGTAGAATTCTGAATTTAATGAAATAAATCTTTAGAAACAAGCGAACACGTTGTGAAATGAACTTACGAATTAAACCGCAGTAAAATCAAGCGCCAAGCCTCGAGTCATCTCTGAAGAGACCTGCGTAACGAAAGACTGAAACAATAGCTGTGCGCTTGTGAGGAATCCTTCGTTTGCGCGGCAAGGTTTCCTCGCAGGCGAACCTCGTTTTCATTCATGGTATGGTGTGGTTT